ATGCAAGTAAGAAAGAAAAAAGTAAAAGAAAAGATTAAAATTGAAAGAGAAAAAGTAAGGAAATGAAACAAGTACAATATGGGCCCCATAATATACAAAGTAAAAATTAGGCAAATGACATAGTATAAGAAAGAAATTACTTCCTTTCCCTACTCTTTCATTAATTACCAAAAATCCCTTTTTTAGTGTTTTTCGGATACATAATATAGCAGTGTGAATACTTAATATAGCAGCGCGGATACTTTAATTAATAACGGGCGGATACTTAAATTATTAAGTTGTTAGCAACACGGATACTTAATTAACGAACGGATGCATAATATAGCAGCGCGGATACTTTAATTAATAACGGGCGGATACTTAAATTATTAAGTTGTTAGCAACACGGATACTTAATTAACGAACGGATGCATAATATAGCAGCGCGGATACTTTAATTAATAACGGGCGGATACTTAAATTATTAAGTTGTTAGCAACACGGATACTTAATTAACGAACGGATGCATAATATAGCAGCGCGGATACTTTAATTAATAACGGGCGGATACTTAAATTATTAAGTTGTTAGCAACACGGATACTTAATTAACGAACGGATGCATAATATAGCAGCGCGGATACTTTAATTAATAACAGGCGGATACTTAAACTAATAAAGTATCCGGTTAAGTTGTTGGGGGAAAATAAGGGATTTTTGTATTTTAGTAAAAGATTAGGGAAATATTGAGAATAGGTAAAGAAGTGTTGTGTATTTAAGTAATTTTTCCATATACAAATGGCAGCCCAAAAAGGCCTCACACAACTGACACTATGTGTGCCTCGCACAGAATAAAAAAAAATTGTAAACAAGTTGTAATTCAGATTGAGAGAGAAGATACCATTGTTATCTTTTGTATTTAGATTAGCAAATTAGAAATAATAAAATATGAAAAGAAAAAAGAAAAGAACTATCCGAGTCCACAGAATTCACTGTGTGTCCTTAAGAAATTTAATCCCCTCAAGTACGCAAGGTTGTAAATTAATTCCTCTCAAGATGAAACAGATTAACCATTAAAGAAGTAGTTGTACCTCAAACTTCGATAATTTCAACGAACTCAAAAGGACAACAACAAGATCACACACACAGACACGATCAATCGATTTTGTTTTGTTAGAAATATGTGCAAAAGAAGGGAAGAATTCAATACAAAAAAAATAAGAGAAACTCTCTCTATTTATAGCTAAGAAATGATAAAGGTCACAACTTTTTTTTGGTAAAAAGACAACCTCTCGGAAAGGTCACAATCCTTTGGAAAAAGGCACAACCTTTCAAATGGTCACAATTCTTTAGAAAAGACATAACATTTCATAGAGGTTGTTGAGGAAGTCGGAGAACATATAAAATAATTTTGATGATTGATAAAGTGAACATGGTTCACTATTTGTTGTCGTATGTGTACTCTATCAGGTGAACCAGGTTCTCAGACGTGACTACAGTCAACCTGTACAAATATGAGAGATTGCGGCAAAGAAGAAAAAGTGCAAAAATAAAGGGGCAAAAAAATAAATAAAGAAAGAGTTGAAACACAGGAGCAAAGAAGGAAAGAAATAAAGAAGGAAAAAACAAATAAGGAAAGAAATAAAGAAGGAGGGAAATAAAGAAGTAGCAATTCAAGTCAAATAAGGAAATAAGTAAATATAGACAAGAAGGGAAATGATTTGTTATTCCTTTCCTTGTAGAAGTTGATGAAGGCAAATCAAACTCTATAAAAGGTTCAAGCCGAAGAAGGAAAATAGTCGTCTTTGCATAAACACAAATCGAGAGAATTTTTCAGCAAAGCCAGAACGATACATATTGTATATTCACGAAATTCATCATGTTGAGAGCAATAGTCATTGGAGCAAAATCGCAAGGCTTCATCACAGCAACACGAGGACCAGGTTCACGCTTCATCACAACAATACGAGGATCAGGTTCACGAGTTGTGTTCGAGTCTGAACTATTGATTGTTGAAGTCTGATCAATTAAAGTCTAGGGTTGTTAGTGTTTGTTGATTTGTTCTAGGTTTATTATTGAGTTGTAATAATTCCTAGATTGTGTAACAAGAAGTGGGTTTGACTTCTTGGAGAGCATAGTCTTAAGAGAATTGTAACAAGAAGTGGATTTGACTTCTTGAAAAGTAGAGTCTTGAGAGAATTGTAACAAGAAGTGGGTTTGACTTCTTGAAAAGTAGAATTGTAACAAGAAGCGAGTTTAACTTCTTGGAGAGTTGAGTCTTCAATTCTAGTTAATCGTTGGAGAATTAAAGGTACTAGAGTTAGTTCTGTTTGAGTTGTAATCCTGAAAAGGAAGTGAATCTTGAAGTGAATAAGATTGTGGTGTGGTTTTTACCTTCCTTGAGGTAGGAAGGTTTCCACGATAAAATCTTTGTTTTATTGTGTTGTGTTTTGTTTGTCTCGACAAAAGTACAAGAACATGGTTCTTGTATAGGGGTAAGGTTTCTTCAAAGGTCACAACACTTCGGCAAAGTCACAACCCTTCATTTCCTATTCACACCTTTAAAACCAACAATCATTTCATAATTTTGTCTAGGAAAAGTGAACACAACTTCTCACTTTTCTAGTAGTGATTTCAGTTTAACATATTACTCCTTTTAACAGGTTTCACATGACACAATTTCTTGGTGTAATATACCATAAATATAATAAATTACAGCTGAAAATAAAATAACAAAAATGAATAAACAAATTAAATCTTTAAGCTGAGGTGTGGAGATCTCGTTCTCTTTAAGGAGATTCAAGCCCACTGTGACATAACCTACATCGATCCAACAATATTACTCTTGAATTGTCCCCTCCAGGATACAACAACCCAACAACATCGTATAACTCAAGCAACTCCGGATTAGTTAAAGAGTGCAAAGCTCCACAGCAAAAAAACCTTCTTCAACATATGATTACTCTCTTATATATAGTTGAAGACTTAGAATTGCTTTCTTTGTCTCAACTCTTATTCCCACTACTACACACTAAAATATTGTATTTCACACTTCTCATTTTTCTTAGGACCCTTCACAAAGGAAGAAACACTATTATTTATAGGTGAAGAAGTCTTCCATATAATCAATGAGTAGAATGAGGGGTAGCAATGTGGGTAGATAAATGTGATAGATGTTACGTAAGTTACAAGATATTAATGGTCATATGAGTGACAAAAAACTAATGACCATGAGAGTTACAAGAATTAATGGTCATACAAGTTACAAGAACCAATAGTCATCTTCTACCACAATTTATACTTATTGACATATGCACTTAATATTTTATTTTAATAATAAAATACATATACACCAACACAATTCAATTTAATGTGGATACTAATAGGAATAATTACTTGAACTTGTAATTTCGATCTACATATTACTCTTTATAGTGATACTTTGAACAGATTACATTACACATATATATACACTATCTAAAAACACTAGTCATCATTTCCCACACTCACATTGGACAATCGGGCTCTAATATGAATATCGGACATCGAATGAAAATAAAATAAAGAAAAGATATAGTATTCATGTAATTTTCATTTACAATGAGATATTATATGACGTTAATATGTGTATTTTGCTACAGTTTGAATCAAAACGCTGTTACGTTTTAAAATATTGTAAAAATCTAGCAATTGTTTCTATAAAAATGAACACTAATAACGCTGTTTATGAAATTTTTTCTAGTGAATATTGTGTGAAAATAAAAAATGCAATATATAGAAGAGAAGAGGTCAGTTGGAGCAGTGAGTCAAGGGAAGTAGTGTTGAATAACTAAAGTCTGACTCCATGTTAAGCTAATGCATGTGCTCTTCTGCACAATTTTGTGCTATCACTAACAGTACTCTCTGCTAACATCCCACCAGAGTTTTTTTCCTTTTTATATTCTGTATTCGTATTGAAATCCAATTAAATTTAGCTTCACGTCGAAAAGTTTCATATTGAGGTTAAAATATTTTCTCACAAAGGCGATTTTGTACCTAGAGGAATTCAAATCTGAAAATTTTAAGAAAAGATGAAAGAGTACTTATCAGGTCTACCAAAATCGTTGTTGTCAAATTTTAGAGACTTACTATGCAACATTAAATTAAAAGAGGAAAAAAAAAAACAGAGAGATGTGGCACTTGTCACTTTCTTTGTTCTACTGTTTATCGTTGAATTTTCGTACAAATTAATCCCTCTCTAGCTATTTAGCTACTTCTACCATTCTTTCTGTTCATTTAATTCATAGCTGATCAGATGAGTTGAATTAACTCAGAGTTAAGTCAAGGTACGTAATTGATTATGCATTCAAAAGATATATTTTTATTAATAATATATTTTCTAGATAACAACTCAAATTATACTGTGTTGTTATAGTAGATTGTATATGTTGGTGTAATATATCATATATATAAAATATTACGGTTGAAAATAAAATGACAAAAAATGAATAAACAAATATTAAGGTTAAAACACAGATATTTCGCTCTCTTTAAGGAGATTCAAGTCCACTACGACATAATCTACACCGATCCAGCATTATCACTCTTGACTTGTCCCCTTCAGCATACAACAGTCAAACAACGTCGTACAACTCCATATTAGTTGAAGAGTCCAAAGCTCCACAAAAGAACGTCTTCCTTCAACATATAATTACTCTCTTTGTGTAAAGTCAATATAGTTGAACACTTAGAATATTATTCTTTGTATCAACTCTCTCTTACACTACTATACAGTAAATATTATTTCACACTTCTAATCTTTTTCTGGCTAACACTCTATCTCATCTTTCTTGGGATCTTTCACAAAGGAAGAAACACTAATGTTTATAGGTGAAGAAGTCTTCCATACAGTAGCGTACGCATAATTTTTTGTAAGTGGTGTCGATATTTAAAAATAAATAAATAATAAATAATTGATATAAAAATACTAAATTAATAAAAATTATTTAAAATGTACTAATAAAACATAAATCAAGTAAACTATTACAACTCTCCTCGACGAGTTTTCATATTTTGAAATGTATTCATAATAGCCTCATTGGGGATAGTACTAAATATTTCTTTCTCTATATAAGGCACCAAACAACCACTCAAAAGTTCATCATCCATTTGACTTCGTAAATCAGTCTTAATCAACTTCATCGCCGAGAAAACTCTTTCAACTGTAGCAGTAGCCACCGGCAAAAGTAAAGCAAATTTAACTAGTTGAAACACAAGATGATAAGTTCTGTGCTTCTTCGTCTCTACGAGTATCTTGGAAAAATTAGAAAGTCCCTTAAGACCGAAGAACCTTTTATCATGATCTCTAACATCAACAATGTAATTTTCAAGCTGAAAGCGAAGATCAACTATAGAGTATTTATCAAAATCATCAGGGTATAACTCAACCAATCTCAATATTTTTTCCATATCAAAGTTAGAAAAAGAATCAACTGGATTCAAGCAAGCAATTCCCAGAAGCAAATCAGTTGTCACCTCATCAAAGCGATTATTGAGTTCTTGACATTGCCAATCAATAATCTTATAAAATACTTCAGCTCGATAGTGATGCAAAATAGTATACTCAGCAATTCTACGACGTGATCTTCCACGGATAACATAAAACTCATCAAATCTAGGTATCAAAATATCATATTTGATACAAAACTTAGATACCTCATTCAGAAGTGAATCCTAACCTTCATCCCGTAGTTGTTGCAATCAATTCTTTGCTACTCCAACGAGTGACATGGCATTTGCAATGTCTTGCTCTTTCTTTTGAAAAACAACATTTAGATCATTTGTAATTGCTAAAACAACGCGCAAGAAATGCAACATGAAGACAATATAATATCAAATGTTAAACATGCTGTAAGATATCCTTTTCCCCTACATTTCTCTTCAAAACGAGCATTAACAACAATAGCATCAAGTACATAAATGATAGGACCAAACATGAGGATAAAATTGTTAAAAGATTTGTAATGAGATTCCCATCTAGTATCACCTGCTCAAGAAAGACCTAATTCTTGATTCAAGCCCTTACCAGTTTTAAGTTCATCTTTACGTAATGCCTTTTCAATTTATTTTGCTTGAGCTTCGCGAAGTTCATCTCTACGCTTGAAAGAAACTCCCTCCATATTTAGAATATCAGAAACCAATAACAAAAGTTATTGCACTTCATCACATCTTCTAGAAACTGCAACAAGAGTTAATTGAAGTTGATGAACAAAACAATGAATAGAATGAGCACCTTTACTTTCTTGTTGCATCAATTTTTTTAGCCCATTTATATCACCTTGCATATTACTTGCTCCATTATAACATTGTCCACATATATAAGATTGACTTAAAGAATGTTGAGCAAGTAAACCAATAATTCCATTCTTTAAAGACAAAGCAGTAGTATCACGAATATGAACAATACCAAGAAATCGTTCCATCACACTTCCCCTTCTATCAACATATTGTAAGACAATAGCCATTTGCTCCTTACATGAAATATTACGAGATTCATCAACTAAGATGGAAAAATGATCATCATTTAAATCCTCAATTATGCACTTAATTGTTTCAATCTTACATGCATTGATAATATCTTTTTGAATACGTGGAGAAGTTAGTTGATTATTCTTTGGAGATTTTTTAAATGCATTGTCAAAATTATCACATAGATTTGCATATCAAGTAAGGCGCTCAATATAATTACCTCTATTAGAAGAGGGTACATCTTCACGATGTCCCCGAAATGACAATCCTTGCTTCAAAAGATATCTTATCACATTAATTGCAGCTTCCAAACGAGTACGATATTCTAAATTTTGATGATCATATTGTTTAGCAAATGCACTTTGAATGGATTATTTTTGTCTCAATAAATCTTCACAATTTCGTCTTGATTGATTATGAACATTGTTTGGCTTACCAATATGCTCATCAAGGTTGCGCTTCTTATTTCAACTTGTAAACCCTATGGTTGAAAATACACTGCCTCCTCCTTGATTAATGCTTTCATCTTGAAACAAATAACAATAGAGACAAAATGCTGCATCTTTTGTTACACTATACTCCAACCAATCATACTCACGAAACCATTCAGCATTAAAACGACGTAAGTCACCATAAAAATTCGACTGAGGAAATTGATGATATTTTGGTTGAAAATGACCATTTTGAAGATACATTCTTGTTATTGCATCACGCTCATTCGGATGATACTTTCGAATTGGTAACCTTTCTCTGGGATCAAATTTTAACGAAGTTAAATCAACTTTTTCAATTTGTCGATCTTGTTCCAACTCATTACCGTTTTCTTCTTCTAAGTTAAAAGAATTTTGAGGTGTTGAACTTGATTTTGAAAGATTGCGGGATACTTTAGAATAATATCTTTACATTGAATTGGTTTGAATTACAAATTTAAATAAATTAGATAACTCTAAGCAATTTCAAGAAATTAAATCTATAAAACTTGATATTTCAAGAAATTTCAATTAAAACTAAAAAATGGGAGATAAAAAGAAAAGATAACTTACAATTAAAGAAAAAACGATAGTAGCATCAAGCTATCAACGCAGACTGCAACAACACTTGAAGGTTTCTTTTCGACTTAGGTTTTACTTTATAACTTATTATTGTATCCAATTCTGATTTGAATAGGTAATAAAAATTTTATAGTAGGTTAAATGTAGTATTATAGTTCAACTGGGTTGTTTTAGCCTAATTTGAGTAGGAATAGGGAGGTTGGAGGTTCAAATCCTTCTTAAACTTTTCTCTTTTTCTCTGAAAAAACGCTCAAAAATTAAAGCAAGAAACACACCTACTGAGATTCGAACTTAGGTGCGCTGAGAGACATAACTGCTTCATTTGCGTCGTGAACCACACGAGCCATGACACTTCCTTGTTCAAGGAGTGTCATTTATAATATTTATACTTCTGTTTTTATTTTTTCAGATTTATATATATATATATATATAAATACTAAACAATTTCAACGAAGCCGTGTCGGTTGACTCTAAGGTGGGTCCGCCCCTGCTTCCACATAATCAATGGGTAGAATAAAGGGTAGTAATGTAGGTAGATGAATGTAATAGATGTTACATAAGTTACAAAACACTAATAGTTATATGAGTTACAAGAAACTAATGACCATGACAGTTACAAAAATTAATGGTCAAATAAGTTACAAGAACCAATAGTGGTCTTCTACCACAATATTTATACCCACTAACATATGCTTTAATATTTTATTTTAATAATAAAATGCATATACAACAACATTCCCCACTCATTTTAATATTAAAATTAAGAGAGTACACTAATATTTAGTTGAAGATAGATTATCATGCATAATAAATGTGTGCTCTGCATTGAACCTTCACTTAGTAAAACAATAATCTTTACTCCAGAGTCAGTAGTGGTCTCAGACTTGAACTATGACTGCTTAAGGGAAATAAAGAATCATTGCCTACACACAATAATGAAGGTGTTGACATAAGCTTTAATAGCCAGCACATTACGGCCTTGTGTTATCCGATTTCATGAGTGTTTTTGATAATAAGCCAATTCTCATAGATGTAAGTGTAAGTGCTACTTTCACACTCACATAGATGAAATCTGTCAAGGGTGCTTCTATAATTTGACACCCTTTATCATACGAAATACATACTTTCATTAAGAGTTCAAAGACTCAACCTCCACAAATCATTATAGGATAAATGCACTTACATCATAGGAATCGAATAAAATTAATAATAATGCATTTCACAACAAGTCATCATATGATTTGTTCTTCCCATTGAACTTGGTTATAAGATATCTAAATATATCACTTACAGAATGAATGTTGTACGAGTAGATTTTATATAACAAAGACTTAAAAGAACTTTTAAAAGTATTTTGAATACATTTAAAAAGTTCTTATAAACACTTAATTTATAATTTAAATAAGTAAAAGGGAGTAATTCAAATATACTCATAAAATATATTAGAATTGACTGAATTTAAATAGATTTTAAGTTCTTAGTATTGAAGTACATTGTTTAAATGTTAAAGTTTATTTTATGATTTAAAAAAAATTAATCAAAGAAAAATCGTTGTCAAGTCAAAATAAATCGAAATCAATAATATCATGTTATTCTTATTCATTTCCTACCGATGTTTTACATCACATAAGTTCTTGCCCATATAACTTTTCCAATACACATTCAATTGCTTTACTAGTCGTCTTTTAGTAATATATCTAAAACTTTGTGAAAATCAATTAAACACAAAAAAAAGAACTCTCAAAAAAAAGAAGGAAAAAGAAAGTGAAAAAATCAACCCTTTATAGAATAGAAATAGAAATAAAATACTCCCTCTGTCCCTAATTATTTGTCCACTTTTGATTTGACACACATATTAAAAATAATAATTAATGACATAGTGAGTTTACCATTTTATCCCTATTAATTATGAAGTGGATGAAAAGTTCTACATTTTTCAAAAGAATTAGTCATTTAATTGAGGATATAATAAATATATATATTTTTTAACTTTTATTGATTTGTCAAAATGGACAAGTAATTAAGGACAACTATAAAAAAAAAAGTGAAGAGAGGTACTAAGTAACTAACTGCTTTCTTTATACTCCCTCCGTCCACAATTGTTTGTCAGGGTAAGGTCATGCACACACCTAAAGGAAAATTTAATAGGAGGTGTAATTTGACTAATATAACCTTATTATACCAAGAATACCAAAAAACTACATAACTTTTCAATTGAACTACACTATCATTAAGGATAGAATTGGAAAAATGTGATTAATTGTTTCTTGATTGTTTAAATTGACAATTAATCTTTGATATATATTTTTAGTATACCTGCCAAATAATTGTGGATGGAGGGAGTAATAATTTAGTGGTCTTTCTTGCTTTTCCATTAAAGGTGAGTAGATTTTAATATCTTTTCCAATATATATATATACCTTTCTTTATTCTTCAAGGAAGAACGTCTTATCACCCTACGCAGCCGCTACCAGTAACACCACTATCTACCCCCTTTTTTTGTTCTCTTGCTCACCACAATAATCTTCTAAGATCCCTTCCCTTTTCTATCTTTTGATAATAATAAGTTTATTTACTTCTTTAGTGCAAAAATAATATCCATTTTAATTTATTTTCTTGGTTTGTTTAATTAGCGAAAAAAGAAGAGATCTCGTTGAGTAGTTGAAAAAACTTAAATTAGTAGTTGTTGTTTAGGGTTTTATTTAGTCATCATCATCTTGATTTAGGGTTGTCTTTTTCTTATTTAATGGAGAATAATTATAATAATCAAGTTGCTGGAGAGAATTCAGGAGGTCAAAGAGGTCATTTCTTTTATGGAGGAAGTCATGTTGTTGGTGGTGGTGCAGCCCCTATTTATGGAAGAGGTGGAGATTGTTATGATCCGATGATAGTGAAAACAGAAGGAGGAAGTACATCTCAACATCACCATACGTTTCATTATCCATCGATAATTCGTAATCATCATCAAACGGTTCAAAATCATCATCAAGAGAGTACGGAGACTTCAGCTTCTGCTGGTGCTGGTGAAGTAATTGAAGCTTTAAAAGCCAAAATTATAGCTCATCCTCAGTGTTCCAACCTTTTGGACGCTTACATGGGCTGCCAAAAGGTATACACATTTTACTCTCCGCATTTTTTTATCTAATAATCATGATGTTCAGATTAGTTTACACACTTAACTAAATGACATACTTGTCACATCGATAACATATGCTAATTAATTATATCCATCAAAACTAGAATATATGAGTAAAAATCACCCACTGTTTTTTCCAAATCTGATTGTGTTTTCCTCAGCTAAATTTGTTCTACGAATTTCTGCAGTAACTTATCGATGCAAATTCTATATTTATTCGCTTAATATATTTATAGATAATTTAGTAAAATTCCAGTAATTTTCTTTACTTTATAAACTCAAAATTTAACTTAACCTAAGTAATTCAATTTTTTATGAAATGTTATTTCTTTTGCATTCTCAAAATGTATTGAACTCCAAAAAAAATAAATGGTGTAAGCATTTCGACTTTTTTTATTTTTTATCTTTTTGGCTTACATTGCTACCACAAGTAAAATTACTCTATAGTGTAAGCATTATTTTCACTTTTTAGTGTGAAAATTATTGTATAGGTGGGTGCACCGCCGGAAGTGGCGGCGAGACTGTCGGCGGTACGGCAAGAGTTTGAGGCGAGGCAACGAGCTTCGTTGACCGACAGAGATGTTTCCAAGGACCCAGAACTTGATCAGTTCATGGTCAGTCTCTTTTAACTTTGTTTATTTTCGATACAGACCTTATTCTTATTTCTTAAATTTTTTTATTCATCATCCTCACATTACATGTAAAATCATTTTTTTCTTACTTCTAATTTGGTAAAATAATAAATTTAAATTTAAAAGTATAATTAATAAGATTAAACATTTTCTTAAAGAGTGTCAAATTCAACTTG